GCGATTTACTGCAATGCTTTTTTTCCCTTAGTTGGTCAGAAAAAAAGGGGATGTTACTTACTTGTTCACATGACATTTTCCAGTGAAAATTCTTATGTTGATCATACTTCCAAAAAGTAGAATCTGTGATTCCGAATGACAGTTTCCACAGTCGCGGTGACTGAAAGCCGCACATTCTCCTCAAACCATTGGATTCATCCGCGCTGTGCCGTGCCGAGGCACAACCCACGTAAAGTTGATAATTTCACGAATAACTGCAATTGCAGATTTCGAACCGAGATGGCGACAAAGAGGAAAAACTACGGACTGCATCTTTAAGTAGAGGTAGAGTCTTGCTCACATTATATATATATAAAAAAAATAAAATAAAAAAAATACTAAAATAGAATGTAAAATGAGATCACAAATCTATGTTTATTTTGGAGTGTTTGGCCAGAGGATCATTTGGCTTCACATTACACACAATTTTATAGGATTGGGGCACTGAATGGGGCCAGTCAAATTTTCAGCTGGGTTCAGTTTGCTCTGCTTAATTAAAGATTTTAAGGGTAGCTGACTTATTAAAAGATTTATAGGATGGCTGAGATATTGAGGAAGTAAAGCCCCCTAAATAATGTCCAGCCTATTAGGGTTGGGTTTAAAAACATGTAGTTTTACTAAACCATGCACACACACTTGCATGGACAAGTTAATGCTTCACCTGATGGTCCCAGTATGATTAGAGAATATTATAACTTATTATAATATAACTTCAGTGGAAGCAAAGATGTCTTGTGCCAATGACATTTGGTTACATTTGATAAGGGACAGAGAAATAATGATCTAGTTATTAAATTATTACATATTTATGTAACACCTTACAATAAGGTCTCATTTGTTAAAGGGGTCTTTGTTGCTGTTTGAGCATAAACTACATCTGCAAAGTTACTGTATAACGCTTAAAGTTCAATGCTAAGGGAGATATTTTATTTTACAGAAATCACTTAGGAAGGACTACAACAAATGGCTGGTAGGGACTACAACAAGCTTCTTCCCGGGTTGGTGACATCACAAACCCTAAAATTTACATAAATGTACATAAAAATTACAACATGATGAGGCCATGTTGGGGTGCTTTAGAGAAGAGGAAGAGTTGTGGTCGCTGTTTTTTTCCACCCCAGAAAAAGTTTGTCCTTTGTAAGAGGTTAACATTTATTTTTAACACTGTTCCTGAACATTATAACCTAAATGTTTGTCTGTGCGCTGCACATTTTACGGAAAACAGCTTCCAGAAGAGAGTACAATGCAGGCTATATGCACAAAAGCTTCTCCTGAAAGACGTAGCCATTCCCATTTTGTCGGGACAATCTTGTTTATAGATCACAACTATGTCTTATTATTTGTAGTTTTCTATTAACAGTTTCAATTATAAGCTTTATGTAGTTGCTATGATAGCTATGATGTAAATGAAGGGCAAAGCTATGCCTCTGCTAGCCTGCTAATTAACATTACAGTATTGATGTAGTGTTTACTTTAGCTTTTGTAAGGTCTTGCTTTTGTAAGACTGTTCACCACCCCTTAAGCCGGGCGCACACTATGCGATTTTGGCCGCGATTTGGCTGTCTGAGACAAATTTAGCAAATCCTAAAAGAATCCTCTGATCCTATAGGCTAAAATCTGAAGTCTTTGAACGTTAGTTTGACATGTTCACCAACAGCCGATTAAAGACCATTATTGCGATAAAATTTTTCTCTCCGACGAAATTCTAGCAGGGTCAGAAGATTTGACTCACAGTCCTGCATTGTGGCTTCTCCTAAGACGACCGTCAAATGGCCTTCGTTTTTCAAGACAAGGCGTGACCAGAATTAACATTAGAGATTTCTTTGTAGCCACCATTTCTATGCCGTGTATAATGCAGCTCACATCACTGAACATGTCATTGATTGATGAAGTAAAACTCAGTACAAGTTCTTGCGTGCGTCCGTTTTTAATGTGTCTTGACTGTCGTACAGTCTGACATTAATGACAACTGAGATCTTACAGTGTGACATGGCTTACAGCGATGATCATGTTCGTACAGTCTGACAAGCACCAATTGTAAAGGACGATAATAAATCTCACAGTGTTCACCCGGCTTTAGGAAAATTATCCATGATTTTGTGATCGATTACGGTTTGTATTACCATAGTTTACTGTTAAATATGATTAAATGGTGGATAACATCGTATCTATAAGAACATTACAAAAAAAACATACCACTTTGAAACGTCCTGGGAAATCCGTGCTTGCAAAGTCTGTGCTTACAGTCCTCTTGTTAATTAACATTGTCAGGGTCTGAATCGGGTTCTAAATGGTTTGAAATTGATGCCATCATTAATATTTATATCATTAATATTTATATCTGAGTAGAGCTCGCAGTTATGAAGGAGCGTGACATTTCCAGAACATGCGCTAAGAGCTGCCAATCACAACACACTGAGCCAGCTAACGAATCACAGCACATTTCGAATTTCGGGAGGAGGGGTTTCATTGAAAACGATGCGTTCAACCAGACTGGGAAGAGAGGAGATGTAATAATTTAAAATATGTGAAAAATAATGTGTTTTTTGAACAATCAAGCATGAAAACATATTCTAATTCACCCCAAAAACAAAATCAAGACTTTGTAAAGGGCATAATAGGACCCCTTTAACATTATTGATGCAATAACTAACATTATTAGTCTTTGTTAATGGCAGTTAATAAAATATTCATGTTCACGTTAGTTCAGAGTGGATTAACTAATGTTAACAATTACAAATGCAATCTTAATGTATTAGTAGACGTTAAAATTAACATTAACTAAGATTAATAAATGCTTTAGAAGTATAGACTGTTCACTGTTAGTTAATAACTAATGTTAACAAATGAAACCTTATTGTAACAGTCTTACATATTTCTTCTTGATTTTACCTCATCATTTTTCTCTGTTTTAAATGCTTATCACACATATCACACAGCACCACAGATGATAACATTACTTGTGACAAGACAAAAAAGATATACAGTAGCAGAACATAAAAATTACACCTAGTCACTTGAACGCACACATATACATGCATTGAGAATGAGTAGATAGTTTGAATGAGGATACTTTGACTGTAACACTCACCTACTTTCAAGCCCAATGGAAAATAAAATTCAGCTCTGATTCCAAAAACGGTATTAAGCGCTGCACCAGAGACTTTGCCAGTCTCTGTGTCTTCGTTGTGAGATCATTGTGTCTAGTTCATTAATCAGTCGCTCTCTTTTGTGAGTCACTCTGACTAAGAGTCACAGTCACCCCTCTCTGTCTCTCTCTCTATCTGTTCCACACACTTCCCTCTTAGTCATTCCAAAAATGCCATGAAGCTGTGCAGCAGCCAAATATGGGAGCCTGAGCTGTAAACAAGCCCTGGTGGCTATACTGCCCCAGAGCACCCCTCTGTCTCTGTCATAGGAATATGCACACAGACACCACATACCCTTTACCTGGAAACACACACAAATGTAAATATGTAGATAGAGATTTGAGAGTCTCATATCGCTTAAACTCTCTAAACCATGAAGTAAAAAGTGTCCCTTAACCTCAGCAGACTCTTTCTTCCTTTAAAAGCAATGTTTGTCTGTGACTGCTCTTTTCAATGGCTGCTTTGTGTCTTAAGTTATGTTAAGTGCCTGATAACATTCCAGTTTATTTTGCTTTTTTATTTAGTTTAGCCAAAATTTTTAATTACATGTTGCATACCATTATAATATATAATCCTTTCGAAAGAGATAAAGGTTTACATATTTGGTTGAACAAACTTGACTCAAGCTCTAAGCACCCCTGAAATTCCTTAAATAAGTATTAGTAATAAAATGGCTTGAGATGGTTGAGATGGGGAGGTAGAGGGTTGCTGGAAAAATTGTCACTGGAGTGAGGTAAGCAGCCTTCTATACCGGTATATGATTACTCTTGTGTTGTGACTGGCAGGATTAGATCATTTAGAAATACCTAAAAAGTTATAAGCAAGTTATAAAAATGTTGCTTATCTACACAGCACACTGTATAGTTATTTATTTGCATGCAGATCCATTACAGATTAATTTTAATTGGGCTTTGTAATTGTGGATTTCCTTAGGGCTCTGCGCCATTTTCCAAAGTCCTGTCAATGTCAAGACTGCACCAATCTTTCTTTTACTGTCAATGTATCCATTGTGTATTTAACTGTGTGTGTGTGTGTGTGTGTGTGTCTGTGTGTGCACGTGTGTGTTTTGGGGTACCCACGTCTCCTGGCCTTACCCACCAGCCCTTCCTCCCAGAAGAGGACACTGAAGAGAGGAGTGTCAGTTTTCCACCCCTCCATGGGGCTGCCAGCAGGGCCACTGACGCCTTCTATTTCTCTAGATGCTATTTAAAACTCTGATTGGCAGGAGGCATGGGAAGGGCTCTTTATGGCAGACCACATGGTTTAAAAAAAAATAAGCCAAGGTATAAGTGTCCTAATGACCCGATACACCATTATTTATTTATTTTTATTTTTTGATTGATGGAAATAAGCAAACAGAGCTATCCTATCATAAAGCCAAATTACTTGATCAAATCTGAAATATGATGAATACCCAGAAGAACAATCATAATCCATGAAACAAGTCTTGAGGAGATTTTTAGTAGCAATGAGAGGAGAATCCATATATCTCATTTAGCCCTCCTTGTTCACTTGGGTGTTTATGCCATTCAGCAAGCTAGCAGAACAACTGACCCCCTCTATCTCCATAAAGAAGCTGCCTTCGCCAAGAGCACAATCATTCCATTAACCCACAGCACGTAAAAGGAAATTAAACATGGTGTACATACAAGGCCAAATGATCATTACATTTTGACCTTGTTCCCACCGTCGATTGCAGCAAAAAAAAAAAAAAAAAAAAAAAAAATCTCTGAATCGCCAAGATTCAGATATCACAAATATCTGACCAGTCAGCACCTTGAGCCTGAGCACACCAAGAAAAGTTCCTCTCACCATCTTTAATGTCTTCAAATCTCCTGTTGAAGTTTTCATAAGAGTCCCAGCGGATCAGAGGATCCTGGGTGTTGTAGTCCACAGAGACACTAGGTCCGTTCTGTAGATGATCCAACCCTTAGCGGGACAAAAAAGATCTTGAAGGTCTTGAATCATGCGGATCTGTTTTATCAAGATCATATCTCTGTGCAGAAAAGATATACAAACTACAGTTTTGGTAATATTAAATTACCTTTGATTTTCTCTGGATCAAAAGAAAAGATAAACTCCACCTTCCCATATTCAGGAAACCTCTCATCTGCTAAATCACAAATTTATGATCAGTCTGCATGCCACTGTGGTGGTGTTTAGTCTTTTTTTTTTTTTATTCGCAATTACAAATAAACATAAAGCACACTAACCTTTAAATGTCTCATCAAGGTCATTCTTAGTGAAGACCAGAGCTAAATTGTGTAATGCACATGTGTGGAACTGCACTCTGAAGATCACGTCCCTATTGGGGTTTTGATAACGCTTGTGATAACATTTCAGCTTCAGGATGGAGAATATGAAAAAAGGGACAGAAAATGAAACATATTGGAATAGTATGGAAAATACATTTATTGGATTCTTCTTCAACTATAACAATAATTTTGGTGTTGATATTGGTACTGTTGCACTTCCTACCAGTATATCTCCTTTTAGTAGCAGGCCAGGCTCAATGGTGATACAGATGCTTGTATGGCTGTCGCCTTGAACGTTACTGTAAAACAGAGAGGGAAGGGGAAGAAATGATGAATGGGGTTATTACAGGCATACTTCAAACTGTCTCGATGCTGAATTATACAAACTAAGCCTAAATTGATGACTAGCTTGTTAAAATATTATCCTCTGCTGAACAAGAACATAAAAAATTAACTAGCAACAGTGGAATTTCTGGAGTTACACGGGTTATTAATGCCATAAAAACACAGATATAAAAAGAGATGGACAAGTGTTTGGCGCAAAAGTCAGATGAGAAAATAATTCAATGATCTTTTCTTGGCCAGGGCAGAGAGCAAAGAGGACCCTATCATTCAAACGTTAACAAATGAACTGCAGTCTTGTCATTGTCACTGTCTCTGCCAACTTCCACATACACACAAAGGTACAGATTAAGATATTAATCCCTTAACAAGAGGGCAACAGATGTTATACCAGACTCTCGCACACATATATTAATATACAGTAGCTTAGAGCATGCACACTTTCAGCCTGATATTATAAGAATTCATAATTATGCAACATTTATACCCCCAGTTTCACAGACAAGGCTTAAGACTAGTCCCTGACTAAAATGCATGTTTGAGCTGTTTTAACCGAAAGCAACTTGGTATATCTCTAAAAATGTCAGTGCCATTGTTTTGTCTCAAGATGCACACCAGTAATGTTTTTTTTTCTAAGGCACATTTATAAAAGCTACTTAAATGTCCTAATTAAACTAAGGCCTAATCCAGACTTAGAGGGATACTTCACCTCTGGGAAGATGAATCTGTATTTAATATTGGTCATTTATATAGTAGAAATGTGAAATTATTTTTGAAATTGAAGCATTCTAGACTGAGAAAAGGCAGAAAATGTATTTTTTACTCATGTGGCTGAAAGACAACAACTCCCAGAAAGCTCTTGCTTTGCTGCCCTTACGAGGCCACTCCCAAACCACGCCTACCGGTTACAGGCGGCAGAATCCAAAAAATGGATACAACTAGGCTTGCTTTGATACATCGTGAGTTATTTGATAAATTTCCATAGAAATGGTGCTATTGCGTACATTGTACCGGGATGTACTAGCCTAATGTATATAACACGACTTAGACTTTCACATTAAAAATATGATGCAAGGCAGGACCATGTCAACAGAGTAGCCTAGCTTAGTAGCTCTGCATATGAACTGTTTTCCCCCAATTGAAATCACCATTTCTCTAAGCTAATACATTATCTAGGCTAATCCATACTCTAGTAACACTAATGGTGTGTTCACACCGAACGCGAATAGAGCGTCAAATACGCGTCTAGTTAGACGCTTGAATCTTCCGCTTGAGTTCAAATTTTTCAACTTGCACGGAAGACGTTCGCGGCAAAAGCGTCGCCCAATTCGGCGCGAATGACACGTCTATTCACGTCTTTGCATTGACTTTGTATGTAATCTACTCGCGCAAATAATTAAATTCGCGTTTGAACACACCATAAAGGTTTATAAAAAGAACCACAACCAATGTGAGTTATAACTTTTAATTAAAAAATTATTAATATTAACACTTTTACACTCAAAGCTCTGCGGATTCAGCAATCTCGTCCAGAAGAAAATGGCATCGCTGAGATTAGCGACAGCAATAGGACGCTATGTCTGTTACCATAGGCGCACAGCGAGAGCACTGACACCACCAGTCCGCCCCAGCTCGAGTCTGGCCGGGCTCAGGTCTCGCTCCCCTGCTGCTGCAGCAGCTGCTCCGGCTCTTGTTCCTCCATCTCCCGCAACTGTTCATCGCTGTATTGCGGCTCGTACAGGTAGCCGCGAGCATCAGATTTTCGCAACAGATCTTCGAAATCCCCTTCTGCCATTTCAACTTCAAAAATACCTTCCGCCATCGTGATTAGCCTACTATACAAACTTTCTACACAGACCAAGAGGCAAGAGCCTGTTAGCTTAGCTTCTACAGAAAGATGGCTGAAACTCTCTTTACATTCTGTGAGTGAGATCCCGCCCCATATGGGCGTGGTGAAAACGTACTCGGTTACTAACGTAACCTCTGTTCTCTCTAGAGAGGGAACGAGTACTGCGTAATATCTTACGCTATGGGGAAAACCTCTTTTCCTCGAGATATTGAAGCCAAAAATTATCCTTAATTTTTAATCAATGTAAAACGCTTTGCAGCAGCATGCAGACATAGGCGAGGCGGCTCGCGCGCCTATTGGCTGCCCTGCGGCAAAAGCAGCAGCCTATCGAGAGCGGCTCTGCGTGACGTCTTGACCAATGGGGGCACTTCGCGCCCATTTCGTCACGTCCCGCCAGAAAGGGCGTGGTCTCGCCCTATTTAAGCAGGTCGATAGCTGATACAAACTGGTTTTCATCGCCGAAGCGATCCAGAGCGTATTGTAAGCACGGCAAGATACGCAGTACTCGTTCCCTCTCTAGAGAGAACAGCGGTTACGTTAGTAACCGAGTACGTTCTCTTACGAGAGTATCTCTCGTACTGCGTAATATCTTACGCTATGGGGAACACAGTGTAACACGCCGTGCATACAGGGATCCAACACCAAAGTTCCAAGGGCAGAGGCCAGGGCAGAGGCCCGGGGCGCATGTAGTGCATAATCACCATAGACTTACAGAGAGTGAAGGAAGAGGGGCTAGAAGCGTCATTCCTTATAAAATAGCATCCAGAGGAGCTAATCTTATAGATATTATACCACGCAGCCAGGGTGAAAACACTTTCAGCCTAAACTGGGTGGCCATACATGTGTCAACACTCGTGGAGCTGCTGTATCAGTCAGTGAGCGATACGCAGGCCAAACTCAGTATCTGGGCCGACACAGCGGGGCAGATCGCACTGAATTCTAGACCGCCGAAAGCTTAGCTTGTAAGGCGGGGACCTCCAGGTTATAGTATTTTATAAATGTAGACGGCGAGGCCCAGCCCGCGGCCGAACAAATATCTTGCAGGGTAATCCCGCTAGACCATGCCCACGAAGAGGCCACGCCTCTCGTGGAGTGCGCTCTGACACCCAAGGGACACTACAGGCCCTTAGAGGTGTAAGCCAGCGCTATGGCATCGACTATCCATCTGGATAGGCTCTGTTTTGATGCGGCAAGTCCCTTAGAACGTCCGCCAAACAAAACGAAAAGCTGCTCAGTCTGTCTAAAACCAGACGAGCGGGACACATAAGCTCTTAGTGCCCTGACAGGGCAAAGGAGACTCGCGTCCTTCTCCTCATTGAGAACCGGAAGGGCGGACAGGGAAATCACCTGGGCCCTGAACGGTGTGTTGAGGGATTTCGGCACGTACCTGTGCCTAGGTTTGAGTATGACCTTTGAGTCATTTGGCCCAAACTCCATACATGACGCGCTTACCGAAAGCGCTTGTAAGTCCCCTACGCGCTTCACTGAAGCGAGAGCCATGAGAAACACCGTTTTGAAAGACAGATGTTTCATGTCTGACAAATGGATCGGCTCGAATGGGGCACCTTTCATGGCTTCCAACACCGTGGAAAGGTCCCACATCGGGACTGAAGGGGGCCTGGGAGGGTTCAATCTCCGAGCTCCCTTGAGGAAACGCACGACTAAGTCGTTCTTCCCCAGTGGCTGGCCAGACGCCGGTTTTGCAAACGTTGCTATGGCCGCCACGTATATTTTGAGCGTGGATGGGGTTCTGCCCTTATCCAGCAGCTCTTGAAGGAAGGAAAGCACTTCCGTAACCCCGCAGTCTACGGGTGAAAAGCCCTGAGCTTGACACCAAGCAGAGAATACAGACCATTTCGAGGAATAGAGCCGTCGAGTAGACGGAGCTCTAGCCTGCGTGATCGTGTTTAACACTCCCTCCGGGAGGTTAGCGGGTACCCGTTGGTGGCCCATGCGTGCAGGGACCACAGATCCGGGCGAGGATGCCAAATCGAGCCCCCTGCCTGAGAGAGGAGGTCTCTTCTCAGTGGTACAGGCCACGGGGCAGTGCTGGCCAGCTGCATCAGGACTGGGAACCAGGTCTGGTTTGTCAAGAGCGGGGCCACGAGCAGCACTGGGCATCCGTTTTCCCTGCTTCGTTCCAACACTTGAGGCAGGAGTGAGACAGGGGGAAAAGCATATAGGGGAACGCGGGGCCAGACGTGGGCCAGCGCATCCCTGCTCTTCGAGAAGAAGTTCGGACACTGAGCGTTTTCGTGGGACACGGACAGGTCCACCTGCGCTCTGCCGAACGTTTCCCACAGCAGTTGGATCGTCTGCGGGTGCAGCGACCATTCCCCTGCTGGGACATTGTTTCTGGACAGTCTGTCTGGTCCCACATTCAGGTGACCAGGCACATGAGCTGCTCTCAGCGAGACGCGCTGAATGTCTAGTCCGCGCTCCGGTGACAGGCGTGCTGTCATGGATAGCGAGTCCAGCACTGTTCCCAGAAAAGAAATTTTCTGACTGGGAGACAGCAAGCTTTTTGCCCAATTGACCGTGAGGCCAAGATTCTCGAGGTGTTCGAGTAATGTGGCCCTGTGTTCTATGAGCTCTGAGTGTGATCGAGCTAGAATCAGCCAATCGTCCAAGTAGTTCAAAACTCGCATGCCCCGAAGTCTCAAGGGTGCGAGAGCCACGTCCATGCACTTCGTGAATGTACGGGGTGCTAGGGACAGGCCGAACGGCAGGACTGTGTATTGATATGCCTGGTCCTCGAAGGCGAATCTCAAGAATCGCCTGTGATGGGACGCTATTTGTATTCGGAAATAGGCGTCTTTCAGATCTATTGACATAAACCAGTCCTCTTGGCGAACTTGCGCGAGGATTTTCCTGGTTGTAAGCATTTTGAACTGGCGCTTCACAAGTGCTCTGTTCAGCTGTCACAGATCTAAAATGGGTCTGAGACCTCCATCTTTTTTCGGTACCAGAAAATATCTGCTGTATAGGCCCCCTTCGCTCTGAGCCTGAGATAAAGGTTCTATAGCACCTTTGCTCAGTAGTTTCGCTATAGATGTGCTACTTCTGTTTTCACCGTGGATTTGACGCGCGCCGTGTAACGGCGGGGGCGTCGAGCGATCTGTAGCGAATAGCCTCTTTTTATAGTGTTCAGCACCCATTCTGATACCCCAAGAAGCTGTGCCCACACTTTCGCGTGAATAGCTAGGGGTAGAATGAGATCTGGGCTCCGGCCGTGACATAGTGACGGCAAGGGAGCTCCGGCGTGCTGTAATGCAGACACTGTGTTTATAGTGTTCAGCACCCATTCTGATACCCCAGGAAGCTGTGCCCACACTTTCGCGTTAATAGCTAGGGGTAGAATGAGATCTGGGCTCTGGCCGTGACATAGTGACGGCAAGGGAGCTCCGGCGTGCTGTAACGCAGACACTGTGTTTACAGTTTGTGAGGCGGGGGGCAGCCTGGCCGCGCTCAAATCCCTTATAGCAGTTTGCTGAGGGAGAGAGAGCGGGGCGAGCCCCGTGGGGCTCAACATGTCTGTGAGTGAATGTGGGCGCGGGACAGCGCCTAACCCTGACCCTAACCGGAACACCAGAAAATACACTGCTTATGTGATTTATCTGGGTCGCCGTGGAAACAGCATTTGTGTGCAGGCAAGCGGGCCATGGTACTGGCTTGCTTACTGCAAAATACACTGGAACAGTTGCATTTTCTGGAACTGAAGGAGCGAAATATTTCGGTGGAAGTCTGGCCGCGGCGAGACTGAAACACCGTCGATTTCCTAGGAGGCTAGGAAGACTTGTGTTGGTTTCGTTTTACAGAAACCGTGGTAGTGTTTGTGGGCACTGGGTTGTGGGCACATTCACTACATTTAATGCACAATTGACATGCGTCGATTTCATTTGTGCGAGCCCTGTACCGTGGCGGGCTGTGTTTGTGTGTAGAAATTAACACTGGGCTGTGGGCATTTTATTACACTCATAACACCATCGGCTGTGGCCGGAAAACCAGAAAATACAATGCTTATATGATTTTTCTGGGTCGCCGTGGAAATGGCATTTATGTGCAGGCAAGCGGGCCGTGGTACCGGCTTGTTTACTGCAAAATACACTGGAACAGTCGCATTTTCTGGAACTGAACGAGCGAAAAGTTTCGTTGGAAGTCTGGCCGCGGCGAGACTAAATTTCTATCTGCTGCGAGAGCCGGGATCGAACACGGGTCTCTCGCGCGAAGGCTTCAGGTTCCGCCACTGATCCACAGGGGAGAACTACATTAGTGCAAGCAGATAAGAGAGTGTCATCACAGTTTTGTGTGTGTCGGCGTTTGTTTGCAGGTGTGCGTGTTATACAACAGGCTCATTGCTGCAATATTGACATTTTCAGCCGCTCAAACTAAGAGGAGCTGAGAAATGTTTGAGAAATGGAGATTAGTCCGGCCTCGGCGGGACTAAAACACACTCTTTCCTCATTTTGCCGGTGACGCACACCCATGGGGGGCGGGGTAGATTTCTTATAACATAAAGAAAGCTAGCCGCGGTTTTAGGGCTCGCGGTCTTGATGCTGGCCCGTTTCCCTGACGACTCGCGGACAGAAGGGGGGAGGTCCACAGAGCTCGCCCAGTCCTCACTGTCCGACGCCAGGATAGAGCAGCAGGTCTCCTCTACAGATGCAGCTATCTCGTCGTCATTAATGGCGGAAGCGGCGGCGCGCGGCGGCCGTTATCCGTCAGTGAGCGACTCGAGTGAAGCTGGTGAAGCTGGCGGGCGAACCAGCGAGCTTTCACGGGCTGGAGAAGGCTCGGGGACCCGCTGAGTACGGCGCTTTACGGCGCGGCACTGTAGCGGGTGGAAGTGCAGTCTCGCTGAAGGATGCCAGGCGAGTCCTCAGAGTCACCGTAGGCAATAGCTCGCAGTGAGGGCAGCCGCCGTCGGCAGGGGCGCGAGAGCTGCATGATCCTCTCACAGGCAGGAAACGCATTACATGGCGGTCCCCGTCGCTGATTGTGGCTCGGCACGAGCCACAGGAGGATGGCATCTTTAAAAAGACGCGGCTCTTTTAGATGATAGACGTGTGAGTCGCGGAGCACACACACACATACACACAGAGCAGAGTAAAGGATATATAGTACGCCGGAAAGCGCAGCAGGTACGGCGGCTGAAGGCGGCGAGGTGAAGGCCAGCGACTTCAGGCTCAAGGGCTCGTCCCGCTGAAGGCTTGCGTCGACGGCGCGGCTTCTCACTCCGGATCCAGCGATGCATGTAGCTTCGCTGAAGAGATGAAAATCAGTTTGTATCTGCTATCGACCTGCTTATATAGGGCGAGACCACGCCCTTTCTGGCGGGACGTGACGAAATGGGCGCGAAGTGCCCCCATTGGCCAAGACGTCACGCAGAGCCGCTCTTGATAGGCTACTGCTTTTGCCGCAGGGCAGCCAATAGGCGCGCGAGCCGCCTCGCCTATGTTTGCATGCTGCCGCAAAGCGTTTTACATTGATTAAAAATTAAGGATAATTTTTGGCTTCAAGATCTCGAGGAAAAGAGGTTTTCCCCATGGCGTAAGAGATACTCTCGTAAGAGAACATGCGGAACACTGGCTGTAGTGTTTAGCCTCTGGCACAAAAATCCTCCGATGACGCAAAATGACGATTTTTGCGTCATCGGAGGATTTTTTCCAAACTAAAAATTACATTTTCTTTTCTCAGGGGGATATGAGGGGAAGGGGAGGGGTAGCGGGACGGGGAGGGGTAGGGGGGGGGGGGGGGTACTTTACATATACATGTATTACTTTACATGTATATGTAAAGTACATGTACATGTATTACTTTACATGTACATGTACTTTACATATACATGTAAAGTAATAATAATTTTATAATAGGTCAACATATACTATTATACACATATTTTTGACCCAAAATATAACAAAATAAAGTGATTAAACGGTTAGTTCACCCAAAAAATAAAATTTATGTCATTAATTACTCACCCTCATTTCGTTCCAAACCATTAAGGCATTCGTTCATCTTCGAAACACAAATGGAGATCTTTTTAATGATATCTGAGAGCTTTCTGTCCCTCCACTGACAGCCTAAACAACTACCACTTTCAAGCCCCAGAAAGGTAGTAAAGACATTATACAAGCAATCCATGGGACCCAAGTGGTTTAACCTTAATTTTATGATGCGACGCAAATTCTTTTGTTTGCGCAAAAAAAGCTAACAAAAAACAAATTACCACTTTATTTACAAAATATTAATCTCCAATGCCCATTCATGCAATGACGTCTGCTGTTGCGTCAACACAACACGCATGCGTCATGGTGCTCTCGTGAACGTAAACATCCTTCAAACATAAACTTCCTTCAAAACAAGTTGAATGCGGCAAAAGAGATCACACAGAACCGTTATAATGTAAAATCAGGTAAATCTGTTAATTAAATGTGATGGAATTGAACTTATTTAAAAAATCTAACTGATTAAATACTGGTGTGTGCGAAATCCTTCATATTTGAATTTATTATAATTTTATTATTTTTATGAATGTTCTTTTTGTTTAATTTATCTTTTGATATCATATACTCATCTTACTTCTTTTGGGCCTTTCTTTCTCTATACTCTGATCTTCACAAACTTCATCTGTTAGATACACTACTTTGGATTTTTTTATTATCTATTGACTAAAATAAATGTATTTTTCGATCTTATCTTGAAACGTATTTGCTAAAGTTTGCTTATATTTTAGAAGCTGTCAGTGATGTAAGATGTACATGTCTCTACATAAATGAAAAAGTATGTGTGCAACAACCAGACTTCATATATAACATAATGAGATCACAACCACACTTTACATATTAAAATAATTTAGCATATACATACTAGGAAGCAATTTACTTACTAAATTCCAGAAGTGTATACAGGCTGCATTGATTGATAGATTTTGAGGAAGGGTCGACAACCTGACAGGGTTAGATATAGTAAAGCACATCACTGATTTTAAGGTCACTTGTTCAAACATAGTATAATATACATAAATCACACTGATGGATTTGAATGTGTAGAAGTGTTTGCACCTACCTCCTTTAGACTCAAAATTAGGGATGCCATGCATGATGACATGGTGAAGGAACAGGGGCTTGTTGTTGATTTTTATGTGCCCAGAAAGGAGACCAGCAAAGTAATGCACATACCTATACAGCAAGGGAAACGATTAAATAAAACCACATGAAAATTTAGCAAAAGTTTAAAGGTTTTAGTCATTTTAGTGATCACTATCACATTAATGCTTTGTTGTATTTTGGAGCCTTTATGGAAAATGTATTCTCTCTCATCATTTTCTTCCTAAAGCTCCAAATTGGCATTAAATTCCCCCAAATGCCACTTAACTTATAGGGAATCATTATTCATATTGGTTGACATTCAACATTATGGCTAATTAGACATAATTTTATGTTCCACTGTAATTCCATGTACTTTGGTATCATCTGCTGGTTCATCCCAAAACTGCAAGTGCATGGACTCAGTTTAGACTTTGCAATGTAATGTGATTCGCAGACATCTAAAGCACAATGACCTATTTCTCAAAAAAAAAAAATAGCAAGTCACAGTGTGGTTCAGCGGGCAATACGTTTAATTCCATGATACAAATTAAATAATTGGCATGGATATTGTGGTGCAGAGTCAAAATAGGCTTGTGTGACAGGGTAATCAGTCGTTGCTGACCTTCTCTGGGAAGGCTGGCCCACGGGCATGGCTTTATCTTCATAAAAACGCTTCATGGCAAACCTGTCCAATGCCTGGTCAGCACTGAAATAATGAACACAAAACATAAACACTCAACACAAATGCACTATCCTCTCTAACGTATCTAACACCAAAAATGTTAACAACCAAAATGTTTCAAATAGAATGTCCTACCTGGCAGATATGTTACTGTAGTGCATATAGGCACCAACCACCACACCAGTTCTCCCCCAGTTTCCCTGCAAGAATTTGTGCCAGATTTATAAAGGAGAATATGCAAAGTGAAAACAAAGCAGGCACCGTCATTTGAAATATGCCATCTTGGCTTATGGGACCACAGGATATTTTAAGCCAATCACATGAGCCATACATGCCATGTGCGTAATTACTGAATTATGCAATGACAACACAGACTGGCTGACGGCAAAATTGTGGAAAAAGAATGTTTGGAATTGTTTGTGTAAATATGATAGAAAACCGTTCAGCCAGCAGAAGCACATCTCTGATGTAAATGGACATTTGGTGCAAAAGCCAATTTGAATCTGGGAATTTGATGATGACATCACTGAATATAAGTTATTAACCATCAGATATACACTCACCTAAAGGATTATTAGGAACACCATACTAATACTGTGTTTGACCCCCTTTCGCCTTCAGAACTGCCTTAATTCTACGTGGCATTGATTCAACAAGGTGCTGAATGCATTCTTTAGAATTGTTGGCCCATATTGATAGGATAGCATCTTGCAGTTGATGGAGATTTGTGGGATGAACATCCAGTGCACGAAACTCCCGTTCCACCACATCCCAAAGATGCTCTATTGGGTTGAGATCTGGTGACTGTGGGGGCCATTTTAGTACACTGAACTCATTGTCATGTTCAAGAAACCAATTTGAAATGATTCGAGCTTTGTGACATGGTACATTATCCTACTGGAAGTAGCCATCAGAGGATGGGTACATGGTGGCCATAAAGGGATGGACATGGTCAGAAACAATGCTCAGGTAGGCCGTGGCATTTAAACAATGCCCAATTGGCACTAAGGGGCCTAAAGTGTGCCAAGAAAACATCCCCCACACCATTACACCACCACCAGCAGCCTGCACAGTGGTAACAAGGCATGATGGATCCATGTTCTCATTCTGTTTACGCCAAATTCTGACTCTACCATCTGAATGTCTCAACAGAAATCGAGACTCATCAGACCAGGCAACATTTTTCCAGTCTTCAACTGTCCAATTTTGGTGAGCTCTTGCAAATTGTAGCCTCTTTTCCCTATTTGTAGTGGAGATGAGTGGTACCCGTTGGGGTCTTCTGCTGTTTTAGCCCATCCGCCTCAAGGTTGTGCGTGTTGTGGCTTCACAAATGCTTTGCTGCATACCTCGGTTGTAATGAGTGGTTATTTCAGTCACTGTTGCTCTTCTATCAGCTTGAATCAGTCGGCCCATTCTCCTCTGACCTCTAGCATCAACAAGGCATTTTCGCCCACAGGACTGCCGCATAGTGGATGTTTTTCCCTTTTCACGCCATTCTTTGTAAACCCTAGAAATGGTTGTGCGTGAAAATCCCAGTAACTGAGCAGATTGTGAAATACTCAGACCGGCCCGTCTGGCACCAACAACAATGCCGCACTCAAAATTGCTTAAATCACCTTTCTTTCCCATTCTGACATTCAGTTTGGAGTTCAGGAGATTGTCTTGACCAGGACCACACCCCTAAATGCATTGAAGCAACTGCCATGTGATTGGTTGATTAGATACTTGCATTAATGAGAAATTGAACAGGTGTTCCTAATAATCCTTTAGGTGAGTGTATGTGCAGGTATCCTTCAAGTGGTTGACTGCTAACTTTGAACATGGGAAACTGAAGGAAAATTTTATTATTTCCATGGATGCAAATATAGCAACATCTCAGATGTGTCACCGGCTGCGTTCGGAATCGCATACTTCCCTACTATATAGTATGGGAAAAAGAGTAGGCGAGCGAAAAGTATGTACGATTCATAAAAGAGTAGGCGAGAATTACCTGGGTGACGTGCTAATTATCGCGAGATTCGGACTTAAGTGCGTTCGAATATGCCTACTTTCCTACTATATAGTAGGCGAAAACAGTACGTGAAGGAAGCAGTACGTTCGAAACATCAGTATTCATAAAAGAGTAGGGGAGAAGTTCCCCGATGGCTTACTGCTTCAGCCCAGATTTTTGAGTGCTCAACCGATGGATACTCTTCTATCCCAGGAGGCCACGCGAGAGCATACGTCATTATCAAACATCACGGAGATCAGCGACGCGGGGGTTTTCAAATGTGAGTAAACACGGTTCCTTATGTGTTAAACTACTATAGAGTAAATGTTTTAACTGAAGGTGTAAAGTAGTTAGACAGTATGGTATAGTTGTGATTTTGCTGTAAAAACATGTTTTGTATTAGCTAGCTAACAGGGGAGCTCTAAGCACACGTAACGTCTCTAAAGTGGATTTACATAACCATAAACCCGCTTATTTAAAATGTCTATTTACATCTGAAAGGAAAATATTGTAAGTATTGGCATATTGCAGATGAGCACATCACAACATGAAAAAGACATCTGAGTGATGTATGTGTGTGGCATTATTATAGGATAACGTTAATTCACTGTTGTCAACACTGTTGACAGACAAATGTGCTGTAAATAAGGTAAATAAACAAATCTATAAAGTAATAAACATGTTTTTATTCAGACTGGTGTGAGCACTGAGGATGAGGAGCCCAGAGCTGAATCCTGGAATCCTCTCCACCGGCCCTTATCGCCTCAGATTGTGAAGCGCAGCGCAGCAACAAGCTCCGGCACGAAGGCACGGTCACCTCTGGTGAATAAAGCCGCAGAATGGGAACCGCTGTATTGAGATGGCAGTATGTGGGGTTCAGCGCCTGTAAATACATGCTTGTAGTTTGAATAAAGATTTGTTTCATGTGTTGTTGAATTGTATATGCATTTGTTCATTGTGTGATGGTTACTTTTATTTGTTCATTTACTCATTTATTCATGTTTCTTATTGTTGTCAGTATATAAAATATAATTATTTAATGTATGCATTAATTCATTGCTTGACTGACAATTGAGATGTTCACGTGTATTCATGCATAACTCATATGACAAAACAAATTACATTTTGCTTGTTTTATTAAATTATATCATTTTTAGTATATAAAAAAAGTAATATAATTAAGTATTGGTCAGCATTTAATGTTATTTTGTTTAAGTTTTGGGGTGGGCTAACAATGCAATTCATTCTGAGGTAATATTAATTTTTAAGGAGCGATACTTACATTTTTCGAGTATAAAGTCAACAGTTTTCTCCAAAGGAGATCTTCGAGCAGCGGCCCGTCTACTTTGTGCAGACATTACAAACGCTGAGGAAAACTGTGCTATTTTGTGCTGTCGAGTTACTGATGTTATGAAGTGTTAGTACACCTGTCGCTCATATAATTTAAACTTATAAACTTATTACATAAAGATCATTGAAAGATACCATAGTTGTATCTAACAATGAACAATCATAATGACAAAACATAAAGATGTTTGTGTACATCATAATATGATATTTATACACAGGAAAAAAGAACAATAACAAGGCTCAATATCTTTAAATAGTTCTTCATAATACATTAAAAAATGTTTTGTTGTTATAAGTCTGAGGGATGAAACGAGAGGTAAATTTATCAAGAAAAGAGGAAAACATAAAGGAGAAACTTTTTGGGTATAAAATAAAAAAATACCACAAAATGAGCAAGTTTCATCAATATCAAGATATTTACAGATAGATGATTTAAACGTGTCGTTCATCTTTTAAGTTGTTGCGCTTGTGATAACGCGTCGTAGGTTACATGATAACGTCAACATGGCGGATGATGTCCGGATCGCATTCATACTCAACGAGATTTGGCTATAAAGTACCTACTCTTTTAGCGCTCGTTAAGTAAGTACTCATTGAAATTAAGTACCTACTCATTGAGTATGCGATTCCGAACGCAGCCCCGAACTTTTCTCTACAAAGAGATTAGGTGAAAAAAACTATAACTTTTAGATATCCATCAATTGTTAACAGCACCATGACTGCTGTTCTGGATATGACACAAAATAATTATGTCACCTCTGGTCATAATTATCTTCATCATTATATATCTTAGATTGCAGATGTCTAGAAAGCCCAGCATGTCCTGATTTTGCCGAGTTAGACATGCTCCTGGGTCAACATATTTTGTTGATCCTGGAACAACATTCCTGTCTGAAAATTTAATCTTAACCATATAACTACTCCTAAACCTAACCCTTCCAATAAGTCATCCCTACAATCAGAGGGATATGATAGGTGTAGAAGCACCAAACCCTGTTTCTAAGTGTAAACTTGTAAGCATAAACTCTAAACTTGTCCCTCAAATCTGATTGGTTGATTGGAATGTTGTTCCAGGATCAACAAAGATGACTATCCAGGAACATGTAGCACTTGGTGAAATCAGGTTCCGCAATTAGGGAGATGATACAACAAGAATCCTTCTGTGTGTCCAGTTGTGATCAGATTACTACAGCTAACAACCAGCAACATAAAATATGAAATTCCAATTCATGAAAACATCATCTTCATTTTGTAAATTCCATTGTATACTTCATTGTAAAAGTTCCAATTACAGCATACTAATTAACAACTGCACGTCAGTCCGGACAGTCATGCAAAGCGAGGGTGGTGGAGATTGGGTGCCTAAGGACAGGTGTGCTATGATAATCACCTTGTTGTGCAGTACCACTACATTGTGAGGGTCTGCATTAAGCCAGGTGTCCATGGCTTTACAGATACTGCAAATTTTGTCTAGAGCAGGAGCATGATGATCAGGCCAACCAAAATCCAGCACCTGTCATAAATGCACACATACATAAAATCAACTCTAAGACCACAAGCTGACAGGAACTGTAAAATAAAAAGTAAATAAATAAATATATAAATACTGTAAATAAATATTCAAAAGATCACCCTTGGGTTCTGCTTGGTGATGTCATGCCTCCGTTCACTGAGATTAAGCAGCTGAAATTGGAAACAAAAACCATTAAACATTAATTGCTTCTAGTTAAGATCCTCTTTACTCTTTCTAATTCCAAACCTGTATGCATTCTCTTCTTCAGAGAAACATAACACATGTTTTGAAAAATAGATTGCCTACTTGTAATATGTAGCTTTACTTATAAAAATGAAGATATATTTGTACAGTGCTGACTGATTTCCAAACCATGTCAAACCATTAACATTACCTGAGAAGTAAATAGGCAAGAAAACCCTGCGCATTCAAGAACACGCATTTACTGCATGGACGGAACAAAAAAAAACCCACATAATGACCAGTTAATAGTCATACAGGGAAACGTCTCAGGTTACGTATGTAACCGCCGATGCTGCGTCGAGACGCTGTGGGAACGCCCCCCTGCGTGATTGCGTCGTGAAGTACGTGTATAATCTGTCCAGTTCAGTTCAGTTGAGTAATACTTTATTAATCCCCAAGGGGAAATTCTTTGTCACAATTGCCCACATATATAATAAATAACAATAAAGATTATAAAAGCATTTCCGTTATTTGGATATGTTATAATAAACATATTCATTAAATATAATGTTCCAGTGAACAAGGAAATAAATAACAACGAGAATATTACACATTAATTTTAAAACAGATCAGATTAAACGGATAATGTTGCACAGCAACCAAAATATTAACAATTTAAAACTAACTAATAGGGGTGTGACGAGATCTCGTGCCACGAGATGTCGCGAGACTAAAACATGACGAGATTTCTCGTCGAGTGAAAAGCTGTCTCGCGATATCGCCATGACTGAGCGTGAGGGTGAGATTACCATAGAATATTCCACCGCTACACTCACATTCGCCTAAACTATCGTTTTGCTGTTTTTATAAAAAAAATAAAAACCATTATAAAATAATGTAAAAGTCTGCTCTGCTCATCCAGCACGAGTTGCCATTGCAATCAGTGCAGCACGAATCACAGTTCTACCAAAAAGACTCGGGAGAGAAGATACTGTACAATTATGCATTTTATTAACAGCCCAGCAAGCCATATATGCAATAAAGTTCTTTGGTGTAGGCCCCGTCCGTAACTCGCGATCCGAGGGTACGGATTCTGCATATCCTGCCTGAAGATGAAGGCAGGGGCCTAGCCGACCCCCCCTTGGGGTATTGGAAGGGACCGACCTGGTGGTGGTGGGAAGGATGGAGCGAAGACCGTCTTGGTGGAGGTGGGGAGGATGGTGGTAAGTGAAAGCGTCAGCATCTGCGAACTCAGACGAGTGTAAGTAAGGATCTTTTATACTTCACGTATTAGAACGCGATTGGATAGATGAGAAGGTAATAAATTACGTAACAATTGAGTCTTCCTGGCAGAACTTACGCTACGCTTTCATTTCAAAAGGATGGCGTGAGGATAGCGGAGGATTCGTTGCACAACATAGACTAACGTCTGATAAATGTATTATTGTAGAATGCACGCTCAGCACCGCTGCTCCCTATACACAGAGTACGCGCGATCACGAAAGTTAAAGTAAAACACAAGCTCCCTGATGTGCATTGCGCACAAATTAGGCCGCGAACATACAATAGTCCGTCTCCTAATACCCATCTCTGGACTGTTTATTTGCGGCTATGGTCTCAGTTTGCACTTCGAATATATTGAGAGAGTACTGTAATGTCTTAAGGACAACAGACAAGGGAGGCTCTGTTTCTGAACTTATAATCGGAACGCAAGAACAACTGTAGAGACAAACACACCAGCCTCCTTTCTCTCTACCCGGCCTGTTTGCGCTTAATAAGACTTCAAGGAGTTCAGTTAGGAGGTCACACACAGCCTCAATCAGAAGTTCTGAAAGCTCTTAAATGTACAGTAAGGGCTGAGACTAATGTAAAATCATACAGAGAAAAGCCAGTCAATAAAAACCTTTTACAGTGCTTGTATATTGTTTTCTTTCAATGCATTTGATAATTCATACTCATAATGCATGTCATTTCAGGTCTACTTTATAAGATTATTAGTTAAACATTGCAAAATGCACCTGCATACTATTTTTCCAGTCATGAATTTTGTCATTGAGGATTTCTGAAAAATTGTGCACACATCTCGTCTCGTCTCGTTCTCGTGAACCCAATCTCGTGTCTCGTCTCGTCTCGTCTCGTGAGATAAGCGTCTCGTCACACCCCTACTAACTAATGGTTCCTGTGTCAGACACTTAGAGGTAAGAATTATAAAGCTTGATGGCCACTGGCAGAAATGACTTCCTGTGGCGCTCAGTGGTGCATTTTGGTAGAATAAGTCTTGCACTGAAAGTGCTCCTGTGTTTGAGTAGCAGATCATAGAGTGGATGGGAGACATTATCCAAGATGACATTCAGTTTGGAAAGCATCCTCCTCTCTGACACCACTGATAAGGAGTCAAGCTCAACCCCCACCACATTACTGGCTTTACGGATCAATTTATTCAGTTTATTTGCATCTGCCTAGGATAGCACTAGCTACCACCGATTCATAAAACATCCTCAGCATCGTCCGGTCAATGTTAAAGGACCTTAGCCTCCTCAAAAAATAGAGACGGCTTTGGCCCTTCTTGTAAAGTGCTTGAGTGTTCTTGGCCCAGTTCAGTTTATTGTCTATGTGTGCACTCCCAGGTATTTATAATGCTCCACAATGTCCACATGGACCCCACGGATTGAAACAGGGGTCACTGGTATCTTTGTTCTCCTTAGATCCAAAACAAGGGTGTGAAGAGACATCATAGGCGGGTGACGTCATAGACCAGGAAACTTTAAAGCACACCTGAAAACAGACCACGCTAGCTTCTGATAGGCCGAAGCAAGTCGATCACAGGCATGCAGGGAGTATGGCAGGGCGACACAGTGTCTCGTTACCTCTTCAGGGAACCAGGGTTACATACGGCCTACTAATTTGGCCGTCTCCTTGGTGGCCCGGAGAGACAGATCCATGCGAAGTGAAGACTCACCCGACAGTTCTTTATGAACATGGGGTCTACCACCTTTACATGCCTGAAAGAGGCACTCTCACTAACCAAGCCGAGGTGGGGCATCAGAGCATTGTTTCATCGCGAGCGATTTCTCCCCCAACGTGTAGCCATGGTAGCTGCAGCCTGCCCGCGGCACGTTCCATAACACCAACCAGCTCAGCATACACGGGGCAGGGTGGCTGAGAAGGATCTATCCGATTATCACCACCCTCATCAGCCATCTCCTATTCGTCCAGAAGAGCACTCGCTGCTGAACTAAGTTTTCTTCTTTTTCTTCGCCGCCGAATCGTCTGAGAGGTTTTTTTCTTTTTTTTAGCACAACCAGGACCTGAGCCGCGAGGTCCAGACGCTGAACCCTCTTCTCTCGAGAAGAGGGCCAGACGTGAGCGGAGCGTTCTCAAAGAAAAAACGCTCACAATTTGCACAGGCAGTTCTCTCGAGACCTGCCTGTGTGCGCTCTTCCTTCCCAGACAGAGAAAACACAGTTCGTGTGTGTCACCCGGCATCGAATATCTTGAGCATGGGTCTGCACACTTCTGAAAGCACTCAGCCTTCTCAGTGCATTTCATAATTACTTGATTTTCAAGCGCTTACAGACAGAACAGTCCCTGAAGACGAAAAGATGATTTGTCATGTTTGCAAGGCGCCCTTATATACTTCCAGGTCGCACGTTAATCATTCACGATAATGATTCACGGGCTTTCGCCGGTCAATGTGATTGCCATGATTTGATTGTGATTTCAGACACCTGTCATGCCTGAGGCGTTCCCCAAAGCGTCATCGACGCTGTGCCAGTTCCCTTTCAAAAGGGAACCATCATTTTGAATACCCATAACATTGATATAAATAGATGTTTGTGGATTAAAAACACGATATGAAACTGGTTTCTTCCATGACATCGACACCTCAGTCTGGAGGTCGGGAAAAATACGGTAAACCCCGATGAGGAGGCTGTGACCTATATGGTAAATATCTTTCATCCAGTAAACTTTTCTTTTTATATTCATTTTGTTCCTCGGCTGGCCAATCTATATTTAATTTGGCAACAGCACGAGTCACAACCTCCAAAAGCTCCTCATCAGCAGGGGTATGAGATGGCGAATCCTCAAAATCCCCTGCATCACTGCTGACGACATCCAGTTCCTCAGAACTGGATAATCGTAGCATTGGTGCCTCAGCCCGGGGAGAAGAAACCACAGCGCGTGCTTCTCCCTGAGATAAGGCACTGGATCTGGCAGGTGAAGGCTGAGATAGGGCTGGGCCCGTCTCAAACCCCGCTGTCAGATACATTTGCGAACCCCAAGGTGTAGCCGTCCTCCTTGAAGAACGCCCGGCGGGAGCGGAGCGTCCTCACGGACAGCTTCTCGCAATGCTCACAGTCAGCCCCCTCAATAACTGACTGGGCATGCTCCACTCCCAAACAAGCAACACAAAGCTGGTGTGTGTCCCCACCCGTGATAAAACGAGGGCAGGGAACAGCACACCGCTTAAACTCTTGCATGCTCGCCATTATTTATATATATATATATATATATATATATATATTAGTGCTGTCAAACGATTAAAATATTTAATCGCGATTAATCGCAATTAATCGCACATTTTTATCTATTCTAAATGTCTCTTGATTTCTTTTTGTCCCATTATTTTTTCTCAATTTAATGCTCTTATCAACATGGAAAAGTGGATCGGCTTGCTTTGTGCAAATGTTTTTTTATTGAAAACAACATTGGCATATACTGTGTTCAATTTCACACTAAAACATTTTCACTTGGAGCAAATAATCTCTCACACACTGTCCATCAATAAAAGGGTGAAAGAAATACTGACAGGTCCTGATATTGACGAGGGAGCAGAGAATTCGCATCAGCTGTGTGTGTGTGTGTGTGTGCTTGGCCATCATCAAGTGGTATTTCAGACTGGACGTCCTGTGATCGCGATGATGATAGCTCAGTTCACAACGACAAAACACACAGATCACTTTGATCTTGTCAATGGAACCATTTGGCAACTTTTTAAAAGTAAACTTTCCATTCAGAATCTTATTGGCATCCATTTCGGCGTCTCGCGCTCGTCATCTACTCAAAACGTAACGTTAACCAACTATTTGGCCGGCTCGCAGACCCAAACAAGTGTGTGCGGCGTGCCTGTTGTTTTGTTTCCAGTCTAGCTAGATCCGCTAGCGCTTTCAAAACGTCCTCGCGCGGCGCAAGCCATTGAAATGAATGGGTTTCGCAGCGCCGCGCATGCCGCGTCCTGTTGCAAAAGCATGTGAAAAAAACTACAAAGTTTGCTAGGCCAAAAAGACTGTTAATCGCGCGATAAAAAAATTAACGCCGTTAAAATGAGTTTGCGTTAACGCCGTTAATAACGCGTTTAACTGACAGCCCTAATATATATAGATATATAGATAGATAGATAGATAGATAGATAGATAGATAGATAGATAGATAGATAGATAGATAGATAGATAGATAGATAGATAGATAGATAGATAGATAGATAGATAGATAGATAGATAGATAGATAGAAAGATAGATAGATAGATAGATGGAAAGATAGATACTCTTGTGAATTGTGCTTGCAATTACAGACAACACCAAATAGACAGAGACAGTATACAGAGAGTGCTTGATGAAGGCACAGAAGCTAGCACAGTCTGTTTTCGGGTGTGCTTTATAGTTTCCTGGTCTATGACGTCACCCGCCTATGACGTCTCGTCACACCATTGGTCTGATTATACACGTGCTTCACGACGCAATCACACAGGGGCGTTTCCTCAGCGTCTCGATGCAGCTCGAGTTCCCTTGAAAGGGAACACTAAACTCTAATTCACCAAAAATAATGTACTAGAACTTATTTTCTCTTTCTTTTGGGACTGTCAATTGCTCCAAGGTTTGGAGGATCCTTACTAGATAGTGCTGCTGGTGTTTAGAACGAAGCATGCTGGTCACATCCCTCAGGTGTACACTGTATTTATGCTCCTCTGTTCCACCAGGAAAGGACAGAGCAATGATGCGTTCTGTGATGTAGACCAGGTCCACCTCATTAATTTCTTCCATTGTTTGCACCAGACTCAGGCTTCTTAGGGAAGAGAAATAACAAATGCTAGACAATAAATAAAAGACGCAGATAACCTGCTTTATATAGTGTAATTGGGCATGTTTTTTTTTTTTTTGTAGAAACATCTTGCTGTTTATTGATCTAAGACACAAAGATATACGATATAAAAATATAAAATATGATAAACCAGCCATAACCAGCCTGGTATGATAGTGTATACCAGACATATTGCATAAGCACACAGACCATATATCACCTTTACGAAACATATTGTTTCAAAGCAACTTTACAAAAAAATTCTTATTTCAGTGTTACAATTTACAAAGTAAATAATGTCAAGTGTCAAAATAATGTCCATATGGCAGTAATACACTGCTATAACATAATATGGCATGTGCTTAATTAATGTCATGTATTCAGTTAAGCAGACACAGCAAACTGGTTAGGTAGCGTAGCAATTACAAACTGTGCTCGTAATGATCAGTGATGGGAATAATAATAAATAAATAAATAAATAAATATAATATGCAATTATAATTATTGCAAGTATAATTATTTATAATTATTATTATATTTATATTATTATTCATAATTATAATTATTTATAAATAATTATAAATAACGCCGTTACTAACGGCATTACTTTTTCCAGTAACGAGTAATCTAATTGATTACTCTTCTCATCTTAATAACGCCGTTACCGTTACTGCCAAAAAAATGCGGCGCGTTACTATAACTGATGAAGCTGTTTTTTTTTTTCATCAGACCAACTAGATCTTTGAGCCAGAGGCAAATACTTTTTTTTTGTTCTTCCTTGGTTAGTGGGCAGAGCACGAGACAAGCGCATAAATGCTGACGATTGGCTGAGGTAGAGTAAAATGTCATTGTAAGCCAATCAGAGGTAGAGTTGGGCGGGTGTTCGAAAGCACCCACAGTAGTGATGGGCATTCGGGTCTTTTGACTCAGCTCACTGAAAAGAGCCGGCTCTTTTGGCTCACAAACGGCTCTTTAAATGACTTTGACTATAATATTTCAATTTTTATTACATAATTATTTAATTTCTATAGGCTAAATTTGTAAAAATAGAGTCGGCTCTTCAGATATGCGAGCCAGCTCCCGACGTTCACTTAAAAGAGCCGGCTCTTAGAGTCGGCTCATTCGCGAATCGCGAACGACCCATCAAAAGCTCATTCGCGAACGAGTCGATCCATCATCACTAACGCTCATTCGCGAACGACCCATCATCACTAACGGCTAACGCTCATGAATTGCGAACGACCCATCATAACGCATAGTCGGACAGGGTAGAGGTGGGGTCACATTTGAGCACTTAAAATTTAATTTTACTTGAAAGTAATGCAATAGTTACTTTCTTAAGTAACTAGTTACTTTTAAAATTTGTAACTGAGTAACTAATTTAGTTACTTTTTGGAAGAAGTAACTAGTAACTGTAACTAATTACTTTTTAAAAGTAACTTGCCCAACACTGGTAATGATTACACTATAAAGATAATATACAATGTAAGGATAATATTTGATCGATTTTGTATGTCGATCCAAAGTTGGCGTCATCTGAAGTCTTCGCAATTGTAGCTGAATTGTCAGCTGAAATCATCACAAATTAATCGATTCAAATTACATTAACCAAATCAATTTAAATACTGAACTTGATTACCGCAGATCAATGGCAAGCACAAATGACAAACTCTAGCCATTAAATGCACTGAATAGTTATTACTCTACAAAACTCCAGGATATGATGTAAGTGTATATTAGCATGCATACCTGGATGGTCTTCGTTTTGAGTCCATATTGGGAGACTTTGTGGATACCTAGTCATAGATGATGATAGAAACACACACACACACACACACACACACACACACACACACACACACACACACAATCCACATATATTTTCACAAATATAATTGCACATATATTTCCACAAATACACTATATTGCCAAAAGTTTTGGGACATCTGCCTTTACATGCACATGAACTTTAATGATATCCCTTTCTTAATCCGTAGGGTTTAATATGAAGTTGGCCCACCCTTTGCAGCTATAACAGCTTCAACTCTTCTGGAAAGGCATTCCACAAGGTTTAGGTGTGTGTTTATGGGAATTTTTGACCATTCTTATAGAAGCGCATTTGTGAAGTCAGGCACTGATATTGGATGAGAAGGCATGGCTCGCAGTCTCCGCTCTAATTCATCCCAAAGGTCTTCTATCGGGTTGAGGTCAGGACTCTGTGCAGGCCAGTCAAGTTCCTCCACACCAAACTCGCTCATCCATGTCTTTATGGACCTTGCTTTGTGCACTAGTGTGAGGACCCCAAACTGTTCCCACAAAGTTGGGAGCATGAAATTGTCCAAAATGTCTTGGCATGCTGAAGCATTAAGAGTTCCTTTCACTGGAAATAAGGGGCCAAGCCCAACCCCTGAAAACAACCCCCACCATAATCCCCCCTCCACAAAACATTACACTTGGCACAATGCAGTCGGGCAAGTACCATTCCCTTTTGAGGGAGCTCGAACTGTGGCGACTACGACACTTTGGGGAACGCCCTTAGCGTAGCGTCTCTGAAGCATGAATGAAACTAAGCCAATCTTGATTGGTGTTGCGTCAAGACAATGTGTGACGGCATACACGGAAGCTACAAAGAAATGCCGGCACACAGCAGAGTTAGCTTTTTTCCTCTTCAGCAAGCGCTCTGTGTCAAACTGTCTGTCCTATTTGGTGTTGTTTGTCCTATAAGAATTGCAATATAGAATCTAGTGGCTCGAATCTCGCGTTTGCAGAGGCAGCGCGTAGATTATGGGTCTACTCTGTAATAAAGATTCTGTGGCTGAGATCTTGCGTTTGCTGAGGCAGCGGGTAGATTAAAGGTCTGCATTGCAATACAGAATCTACAGTGGCCCGGATCTCGTGTTTGCAGAGGTAGCGCGTAGATTACGGGTCTACTTTGCAATAAAGATTCTGTGTGGGTGCGAGGCATGCACAGTCAGCTCCTGAGGGTGCTGGCTGTGTTCATTGAGAAATATCTCGACGCACACCTGGCTCCGTGCGTTTTCGGGTGTTTCAGCCTCACGCCCGTTGACTTTCCTCTCGAGAGATGAAAAAGCCAAATATATTGTGAATGACTCGAATCTCGCGTTTGCCGAGGCAGCGCGTAGATTACGGGTCTGCAATAAAAGGGACACACGCGATCTGTGAAATAATACTGTTTGGGTGTGAGACATTCACAGTCAGCTCCCGAGGGTGCTGGCAGTGTTCATTGAGAAATATCTAGTTTCAGCCTCGCACCTGTTGACTTTCTTTCTTATGTTTGCCGAGGCAGCGTGTAGATTACGAGACCGTAAATAATATTTAAACAGTATTGTTTGGTGATTATGGCTGCATTTAATTCTATGAAATTAAAATGATGGAATATTATCTGACTTTAAGAATTTAGATATTTTAATTCAGCCTACCATCCAGACCGTGTTTCACTTATCCAGTGTTTATGGCTGCATTTAATTCTGAGGAATTAAAATGATGAGCAGCGAACGTCAAAAATCGTTTTCGATTTTTCCCTGCTGGTCCTCCGCTTCAGGGTATCGTAAACGAGACGAAAATAGCAGGGCTGTCCCCCCATGGAGGGATGAGCGAGAATCACTCCTCCACGGAGCCCTCAGGAAAACTATATTTTTATCCAGCGTCAAGTGCGCTTCGGGACACATCGGTTTTCAACGAATGCACGCTGCAGTGTTCGCCCCAGAGGCTTGTGGCTAGGCAGTGTTCGCGTCCGCACATCGGAAACTGTTTTCGATTATTCCCTGCTGGTCTTCCACTTCAGGGTGTCGAGAATGAAAGCCTCCTATCTGGGGAGCCCTCAGGAATTCGATGTCTGTATCCCGCCGTAAAGTGCGCTTCGGGACACATCGGTTTCCAGTGAACACACGCTGCTCTGTCAGCCCCACAGGCTTGCGGCCAGGCAGCGCTCGCGTCCGCACATCAAGAATTGTTTCGACCAAAGCCTGCGGACCGAGAGCCGCTTCAGGAGATCTTGAACGAATCTCGAACGATACCCGAAGCCAGCCTCGAGAGGCTGGTTCCCTTGGGGTACAGACTGCAGTTCGGTTTCCGCCCACCAAATTTCAACGGGGTGGTCTGGACTGTAGTCGACCCAAAGCAGGGTCGGGTATTGGAACAAGAAGTAAACTCCCTGCTGGTAAAGGATGCTATAGAACGTATTCCTCCACCAGACAGGTAGTCCGGGTTTTAAAGCCTCTACTTCATAGTTCCCAAGAAGGATGGGGGGTTGCATCTAATGATAGATCTCAGGCACTTGAATCGGTCTCTGAGGAGGTTCAGGTTCAAGATGCTCACCATTGTGAATAAAATTCAATCCGAGGATTGGTTTGTCACGATAGATCTGAAGGACGAATACTTCCACATATCCATCCTTCCATCTCACAGGAAGTTCCATTCGGCCTAGCTCTCTCCTCTCGCACATTTACCAAATGCATGGATGCAGCTCTAGCACCGCTGAGGCTTCTGGGTGACTGGCTGATTTTGGCCCAGTCACAAGAGCTGGCAGTTCGGCATCGAGATGTCGTCCTTGCCCACTTCCATAGCCTGGGTTTGAGACTCAACACGAAAAAGAGCGTGTTGGCACCAGCCCAGAGAACCACATTCCTGGGAGTGGCGTGGGACTCGGTCACGATGTGGGCACAATTGTCTCCTGCATGGATCGAGTCTATCCTGGTCATTGGTGACCAGGATAAAGCTAGGCCAAGCCATCACAGTCAAACACTTTCAGAGAGTGTTAGGACTCATGGCAGCAGCGTCCAACATCATTCCATTTGGCCTGCTGCACATGAGGGCTCTGCAGTGATGGTTGAAAACCAAGGTGTTCTCCCCGAAGGGGAACCCATTCCGCATGATCAGGGTTACGCGCAGATGCCTTCGTTCCCTACCTATGTGGAAGAAAGCTTACCCCGTCCACACTCAAGGTGTACGTGGTTGCCATTGTGGCTTTCCACGCTCCTCTGGGTGATGGGCCTCTGGGGAGACATCAGCTAGTCGTACGTTTCCTATGTGGGGCTCGGAGGATGAGACCTGGAATTCCCACATGGGACCTAGCAGTGGTTCTCGAAGGGCTGGTCGAGGCACCCGTCGAACCTCTGGAGTCGGCTGAGGCCAAGAACCTTCCCTCAAGGTAGCTTTTTTATTAGCCATTACATCTCTGAGGAAAGTAGGAGATCTTCAGGTGCTCTCTATATCTCATGGGTGCCTGGAGTTTGCTCCAGGCGACATTAAGGCTATCTTGCATCCCAGGCCGGGCAATGTGCTTAAAGTGCCATCTAATGTGGCACGGCCTACGGTTCTGCAGGCTTTTCATCCTCCACCTCACGTGATGGCGGATGAAGAAAGACTTAATTTACTCTTCCCTGTCAGAGCTCTCAAGAGTTATGTCCAGAGGTCTTCTTCATGGCGGAAGTGAGATCAGTTGCTGGTGTGCTTCGGGTCGCCCAAGAAGGAGCTTCCCGCATCCAAACAGACCATCAGTAACTGGGTCGTTCAGGCTAACTCTATGGCCTATCAGGTGTGCAGCTGCCTTCACCTTTGGCCGTGAGGGCTCTTTCAACCAGAGGCATGGCATCCTCTAGAGCCCTCCTTTCAGGGGCCCCGATCCAAGAAGTGTGCGATACAGCAGGATGGGCCACCCCTCATACTTTCATCACATTCTAAAGCTTGGACATTCCTTCTACGCCAGGGACTCTAGTGCTCTCATCCTAAGTGTGCCTGTGAGCAGCTTTACACTGGGACAGGCAGGGCTCGTTGTGGCATAGTGGATACTCGTTCCCCAAAGTGTCGTAGTCCCTCTGCCACGCCTTCCCCTGCCTGGGAGCGACTTGCTTCATCGCAGAAGCTAACTCTGCTGTGTGCTCTTTGTAGCTTCTGTGTATGCCGTCACACATTACGTCATGACGCAACACCAATCAAGATTGGCTTACTTTCATTCATGCTTCAGAGACGCTACGCTAAGGGCGTTCCCCAAAGTGTTGTAGTTGACTCAGTGTCTCCTTCCCTTCTCAGGGAACAAGGGTTACAGTCGTAACCCGAGACGTTCTCCTGGCAACCGCCAAACCCAGACTCGTCCATCGGATTGCCAGACAGAGAAGCGTGATTCATCACTCCAGAGAACATTTCTCCACTGCTCTAGAGTCCAGTGGCGTTGTGCTTTATTGTGATGTAAGGCTTGGATGCAGCTGCTCGGCCGTGGAAACCCTTTCCATGAAGCTCTCTATGCACTGTTCTTGAGCTAATCTGAAGGCCACACAAAGTTTGGAGGTCTGTAGCTATTGAATCTGCAGGAAGTTGGCGACTTCTGCGCACTGTGCGCTTCAGCATGCGCTGACCCCGCTCTGTGATTTTACGTGGCCTACCACTTCGTGGCTGAGTTGCTGTTGTTCCCAATTGCTTCCACTTAGTTATAATACCACTAACAGTTGACCGTGGAATATTTAGTAGTGAGGAAATTTCACGAATGGCAACCTATCACGGTACTACGCTTGAATTCACTGAGTTACTGAGAGCAACCCATTCTTTCACAAATGTTTGAAGAAGCAGTCTGCATGCCATGGCCATGGAAGTGATTTGGAATACCTGAATTCAATGATTTGGAAGGGTGTCCCAATACTTTTGGCAATATAGAGTATAATTGCATATATATTTTCAAAGTATAATAAACATGAATGTTTAAGCAGATATTACCCATTTGTTTTTAGGTGTGGTCCATAATGGCTATTGCCACATTGTTCGAATTTGTGATACACATGGACAACAGTAAGAGAGAACACATGCCAAATTTCATCAGTTTTTCAACTACTTTGAGATCTTTTGAATGGACTTCCATTGATATCTCAGCAATGTCATGTACATGTTTCATGGATATAGGTAAAAAAAAAAAAAGGTCAAATTGACCTGTATGCATTTTTATCACCACCATGCAATATTTGGTGTCATTTGAATAAAAGATGGCACTACTGTAAAGTGACAAACATGGAAATGCCTGCATCAAAGTTAGTTCTTAATTACTTACATTGCAGCAAGACAAAAACATTTTTTTTTATCACCGATTTCATTGTAGTTTTAATTGAAATTGTGATGGAGACCTTAGTGTTTAAGACAACTGGCAAAATAAGATCAAACACAATTATTAGTATTACTAGCTCTAAAACTAAAGCAACCCAATCTGTAGTAATAAAGTAATTGTACAATAGGCCTATGTGTTGTTTCATGAATAACTCAAATTCATTCTGTGCTGAATGAAAGGAGGAATATTGAGCGACAAAAAAAAAAAAAACCAAACCAAAAAAAAAAAAAACCAAGCAAATAAGTATTAAATAAAAAAGAGCTAACCTGACTGTTGTTAGTTGTAGATTCACAGGCTGTGGATACCTGCAGATAAAAAGAGAAGGAGATAGAGGGAGAAAAAAGACAACTGTGACTGAAAACATCAGCTATATTTTTAACCCACAATGAGTCTAAATATATCAGTACAGTATTTTAAGCAGGAAAAATGTGATTTGTTCCCTCACCATATTCTTTACCTACAGTATATAACAATTGTAATCAACACATTGTCAATTTCAGGTTATCTTGTGTAGAATACTGTACTGGATACTGAAATCTGAATTTTGTAACTTTTAAACTTTACAATTTGCTGCAGATGAAATATCTTGTACACATCGTGAATAAATAAATAATTGTAATTTTTACCCACTTTGAATTACTATATAATTTGTTTATCATATTTCTACACATTTTAGATGTCTCCATAATGGTCACAACTAATTCAGATATTGCAGTCTCTACAAAATGCAGTGGTGTGGGGCCTCTGGGACAGGTTTGGAAAGCACTGTACTAGATCAAGTCAAATTTTATGACAACTTCAGGCAGGAATCCAGGTAAATCCAAAGGGTTCACATACTTTTACATATATATTCTTGCTTAAAGTGACATATGGGTGACCAATGTTCGCAATTTTGATTCATACCAGTGACTAATTGAATCAAAAACAGTGCAAAACAGTAGGCCCATCTGAGATCACAAAAGCTTTGCCTTGAATGTAGATAAGAATAGGTGGTAGCAGCAGTGAAGGGACACAGGGAAAAAGTGTTAAGTGATACAACTCTCACTTCTAGTAATTAGCAAAAGCTAATTACGTAATTACATTCTTTCATAAAATAGATGCTTTTAAAATACTGCTGCTTTTACATAAAGCATAATTTAATGAAAATGTAATCCAATATTTCTATATTATGAAATTCTACCAAAGTTTGGTACAACAGTTAGCATCACCCTGGTTCCCTCTGCAAAATCCTAATAGGATCTCTGTGACCAACAAAAGTTTATGATCTTACACATTTTGTACATCATGAAAATCTTCACACACAACTTTTATGAATTTTGAAGCCCAAATAAAATCAGCAGAAGTGAAAAGCTAACATAGGCTATAAACGGACTACACCACGGTCGCATCACCATTACTAAACTTCTGACAACACTTTCAGTCTTTATTTAAAAAAAAAAAAAAAAAAAGAAAAAAAGAAAGATATTTGAGTTAGAATAGTTTTCAAGAGTATGATTTTAAACGCTGTGAAAGTCTCGATTCATGGACCGACGACGAGGTTCAGGCTTTATTAAACTTAAATTTAGAGGATGAAATACAGCGGGAACTGTAAAGTAGTGCCCAGTCCAATATGGGATGAATATACTGTAGTATCTAAATGATTAACACGTGCAAGCACAATTGTCCATGAACTTGATAAATGTTGCAGATATGTTTTACTATCCACAACCAAATGCCTTTCAACTTGCGTGTGCAAAATTCTAAATAAATTTTTTTCTTATGTATTAGTGTATCAAAATTTGCTCATGCAACAAAGAAGATGTGCATGTGAGGATCAGGTGACACGCGTGCATTCATTGACATCTTTTCTGAGTCAATCTTATTTGATTCATTTGGATTTTGAGACTTTCTTTTGCGGTTTTTAAGCATTTCACAACCCACACACAAACAACTACAAATGAATAGGCCTGGTGCTAATTATTAATGTGTGCACAACAATCCATCTATTTGACAAATTCACAAATGTGTGTCACTATATTTAAACTAAGAGCAATACAACTTCTGAGTGCAAAATCCAGAATCACATGAATGTGCAGCATTTTGTACAAATAGAAACATATTTGTAAATAGAAGCATAGTTGTTAATACAAAACCTCGATTTTGTATTAATGTAGGTCAGAATCTGTGCATGCAACAAGTAAGATGTGCATTTGTGGATCAAGTGACACACGTGCATTCATTGACTCGTTTCTGGGTCGATCCTATTTGATTCATTTGGATTTCGAGACTTTCATTTCGCCGGTTTAGCCTTGCACGATCCATACACAGCTGTCTGAGAAAACCTGCTACCACTAGATGGCAGTGCTAAAACAACGGCAGCGTAATCAAGCGTTCTTCTCCATTTAAGACGCTTAATGTGGATTAAGAAAGTGATATTGAAGCACCAAATTTAGTACACAATATAGGCCTACCTTATTAATAAAGCATACTTTGTAGAAGCAAACAGATTAAATCAGATTATGAACAACACCCATAGAAAACCATTAGGCTATAAAACGCTTAACGTGCAATAGCACATTGCATGTTCACTAAGGTGTAGGCCTATAGGCTACTGAGTTTTAATTTCACCGTCTTACTACATTAATGTTAAGCTTTTTCTTTATAATAGGCTCTATGGGAGGAAAACTATACACAGACATGTACAGTAGGCTACACAACTATTTTCAGAAAAAAATACTGTATTTCACCAAAAGGGTTTTTTCATGTTCAAACTGGTTGTAGTATGTTCCTAGTGACTAGACTGACTTACTACAGGTGAAAAAAAAAACACTTGGTGAGTTACAGTAATTAAAAAAAAGATTGTACTGTTCAATCGAGATATTGATTGAAGCTCAAACAGTAAGTCATTCTGCCCACTAGGCATTTACTATAACCTTGTAAGTATCGTTCATTTGAGTGAATGATTGGACGTTTATATTTTTGGACTGTGAGTGGAATTTGCTAGCCTGGATGCCAGCCGAACTTAGCCCCGCCCACAACATTTGAGGATGGGAAGGACTTGATCCGTTGTGAAGCTAGTATGCCCGAACCAGAGCTGTTCGGACCAATAAAATTGTCAGGGCGGGCTTTATGCGATGATGGACAGATGATCAACAGTAACGTAATCATCCATGTCACCAAAGAGCGCTTGGGTTGAATTAGTTTACAACAAAGAATGGCTGCCGCTGGAGAATTTAGATGTGTAGATTCAGCCATCACATCTGTTATAGAAGATGTAGACAGCGCATTCATTTTAAAAGAGGAACAGAGAACTGCAATAAAGCCATCGATCGGAAAGATGTTTTTACCGTCCTTCCTACGGGATTCGGTCTATCCAATTGAGTGCAGAGACATTTTGTTCCTGGTTCGGTTGAAACACGCCCCATAATCACAGCCCAATGGAGCAGTATCAGATTCACATTCTGACTAGAATCTGAGTATAATGATGTCAGGCTAGGACTTTGCAGATGGTCCTTAGAAAATGTGGCCAATATCAAACCTAAAACTTAATTTACTGCGCTCCCTGAGCGGTTGCTCTCCCCTACACATGCAAAGTTGAACGCAACTGCGAAATTTCACGTTAAAGGTCACATGACATGCTTCTTTTTGTAGGCTTTGATATAGGCCTTAGTGGTCCCTAGTACTGTATCTGAAATCCTTTTCCAAAAATTCAGCCTTGGTACAGAATTATAGCCACTACAAGCCAGTCCCACAATGAGCTTTCCTTCAGACGTGCCGTTTCGGTGTCTATAGCTTTAAATGCTAATGAGGAGGAGAAAGGCGGGTCAAGGTGTAGGGCGGGTGTGGCCTTGACCATCTTGCGGCAATGGTACCATGCATGTTTACATTGGATATATTGCAATGGCACGCAGACACGCAGTCGTTCAAGCATTTCAGTTTGACCCAGAATCTGATCCGGATGGAGAAGCAATGGATGAAGAAGTTGCAACTCAGGGGCTCCAGCAGGACATCTCCGAATGGTTAGTTTAAAATATTATGTCTGGATACGGTACTTTATTCGGATGGTTTACGTATGCTGTTAGTTATTATCATGTAGCTAACGCTAGCCTTCTGTTGCCTTTTCATGTTGCTCTGATTTGCTATCGTTTTAAACCTGTATTAGCATTTATATCAATAATATTTGTAGTTTAGAGAAGACTGTAATGTGGCTTATTTTTTTAATGACAAAGTTCTCCATGTCCTCGTATATTGAAGTCATGTTACACATAACCAATGATTTACTCCTCAAGAGCTAACTCTACTCAACACCTGCATATATATATATATATATATATATATATATATACACACCAGCACCACTATATTAGTCAGACCTCTGCCATTATTACATGTACCTTTTTGTATAGGTGCCGTTGTGGAAAATGTGCTACCATGCACACAGAAGCTGAGATGGATGAAGGAACTAAAAAAATACTCCTATGTTCATTTGTACATTCTATTATCGCGCGTTCGTACTTCCTAGCTAATTTTTTCATGGGCGGGTCAAATTATCTGGGCGGGAAAAGAAGAGAAAGGGGAGGTAACCTTTCCCTGTATGACGTCATACGGGGAAGATTCAATATCAGCCCGTCTGAGCTTTCATTTTCTCAAAGACGGAGAAAGATAGCCAAAGCTCGGTTTACACCGATTGAAATTTCTAGACACTGGGGAATCATACACAGGCTAGGGGAACTCATATTAATGTTAAAAAACCTCAGAAAGTGAAAATTTCATGTCATGGGACCTTTAAAGGTGCAGTGTGTGATTTTTAGCGACATCTAGCGGTTCGGTTACGAGTTTGCACTAAGGGCTCAGCCCACTGCTCACCCCTCCCTTCCAAAGAAGCTACGGTGGCTAAAACGGGACAAACATATTGTCGTCTGGAGACAGCAGATAATAGCCAGAGTAAGCCAAGAGTGTGTAACATTGTCACTGTTTCTGTACCACAGTCCATTATAAACCACATCATGGATAACGTTTACAAAGCCATAGTCAGGTGAGGATCAAGGGTCTTAATATATAATAATGGTAATCAGCTGATTGTCTCACAAACGTAACCAGCACATTTCTCCCCACATAGCAAACCCATAATACAGCGAGGGAGAAGAACTACATGAAACTATGCAACTATATATGTTTTCTAACAGGGTAGTGAAAGTTTAGCTGGCTAAATATGAGCTGTTACTGTGGCTGAGCTGGTTAAAGCGTAAAGCCTTGTTTAAACTCGACGCGTCCGCATGATATGAGCCCAAAGGTGCGCGCGGCAAAAATGACATGATTGTAACAG